TTCATTCTAGACGTCATTCCGATCCCAAAAATACCCCTTATTGTCGGCATCCGTATTTCCCACTTTTTCTGAAAGCGGAAGCCGCCATCTTGGATTTCAAAATGGCATTGAATACCGATTTTCATTCTTTAGACGTCATCCCGATTCCAAAAATACCCAACATTGATGGGTCGGCATCCGTTTCTCCCACTTTTTCTGAGAGCGGAAGCCGCCATCTTGGATTTAAAAATGGCGTTGAATATCGATTTTCATTCTCTAGACGTCATCACGATTCCAAAAATACCCAACATTGATGGGTTGGCAACCGTTTTTCCCACTTTTTCTTAAATCCGTAGCCGCCATCTTGGATTTCAAAATGGTGGCGGATATCGATTTTCCTTCTCTAGACGTCATCTCCATTAAAAAAAATCCAATTTTGACGGGTATTTTACAGTATTTTCACTTTTTTTTAATCCGTAGCCGCCATCTTGGATTTCAAAATGATGTTGAATATTGATTTTTATTCTCTAGACATCACCCTGATTCCAAAAATACCCTATTGATGGGTCGGCATCCGTATTTCCCACTTTTTCTGAAATCTGAAACCGCCATCTTGGATTTCAAAATGGCATTGAATATTGATTTTCATTCTCTAGACGTCATCCCGATTCCAAAAATACCCAACATTGATGGGTCGGCATCCGTATTTCCCACTTTTTCTGAAAGCGGAAGCCGCCATCTTGGATTTAAAAATGGCGTTGAATATCGATTTTCATTCTCTAGACGTCATCACGATTCCAAAAATACCCAACATTGATGGGTCGGCATCCGTATTTCCCACTTTTTCTAAAATCCGTAGCCGCCATCTTGGATTTCAAAATGGTGTCGGATATCGATTTTCCTTCTCTAGACGTCATCTCCATTAAAAAAATACCCATTTTGACGGGTATTTTACAGTATTTCCTACTTCTTCTGAAATCTAAGCCGCCATCATGGATTTCAAAATGGTGTCGAATATTGATTTTCATTCTCAAAACGTCATCCCGATTACAAAAATACCTATATTGATGAGTCAGCAACCGTACTTTCACTTTTTTTAATCCGAAGCCGCCATCTTGGTTTTCAAAATGATATTGAATATTGATTTTTATTCTCTAGACGTCATCCCGATTCCAAAAATACCCAACATTGATGGGTCGGCATCCGTTTCTCCCACTTTTTCTAAAATCCGTAGCCGCCATCTTGGATTTCAAAATTGTGTCGGATATCGATTTTCCTTCTCTAGACGTCATCCCGATTCCAAAAATACCCATATCTTAGGGTATTTTACAGTATTTCCCACTTTTTCTGATATCTAAAGCCGCCATCTTGGATTTCAAAATGATGTCGAATATTGATTTTCATTCTCCAGACGTCACCCCGATTCCAAAAATACCCATATTGATGGGTCGGCATCCGTATTTCCCATTTATTTTTTAAATCGGTTGCCGCCATCTTGGATTTTAAAATGGTGTTGAATACCGATTTTCATTCTAGACGTCATTCCGATCCCAAAAATACCCCTTATTGTCGGCATCCGTATTTCCCACTTTTTCTGAAAGCGGAAGCCGCCATCTTGGATTTCAAAATGGCATTGAATACCGATTTTCATTCTTTAGACGTCATCCCGATTCCAAAAATACCCAACATTGATGGGTCGGCATCCGTTTCTCCCACTTTTTCTAAAATCCGTAGCCGCCATCTTGGATTTCAAAATTGTGTCGGATATCGATTTTCCTTCTCTAGACGTCATCCCGATTCCAAAAATACCCATATCTTAGGGTATTTTATAGTATTTCCCTCTTTTTCTGATATGTAAAGCCGCCATCTTGGATTTCAAAATGATGTCGAATATTGATTTTTATTCTCTAGACGTCACCCCGATTCCAAAAATACCCAACATTGATGGGTCGGCATCCGTATTTCCCACTTTTTCTAAAATCCGTAGCCGCCATCTTGGATTTCAAAATTGTGTCGGATATCGATTTTCCTTCTCTAAACGTCATCTCCATTAAAAAAATACCCATTTTGACGGGTATTTTACAGTATTTCCTACTTCTTCTGAAATCTAAAGCCGCCATCATGGATTTCAAAATGGTGTCAAATATTAATTTTCATTCTCTAGACGTCACCCTGATTCCAAAAATACCCTATTGATGGGTCGGCATCCGTATTTCCCGCTTTTTCTGAAATCTGAAACCGCCATCTTGGATTTCAAAATGGCGTTGAATATTGATTTTCATTCTCTAGACGTTATCCCGATTCCAAAAATACCTATCCAGCTTTCCATGCTCGGTAATGGCGGCCTGTTTGTATGAATAAATATATTCTTCACTGGCAGAGATGAACTGGCTGAAAGTCTCTTTAATAAAGAAAGATAAAGATAAAGATCCTTCACTGTCCTTTTTGACACTAACTGGAGGGCGTATGTTGTTTCATTTTCTTCTGAGGGGTAAAAATCCGAACCTCCAGATAGCACAGTGAAGGATACATTTATTCATACAAACAGGCCGGCATTACCGAGCATGGAAAGCTGGATATTGATGGGTATTTGTCAGTATTTCTCACTTTTATTAAACTGAAAGCCGCCATCTTGGAATTCGTCGGTGATCAATTTCCATCCTCTAAACGTCACCCCGAAGCCAAAAATACCCATATTGATGGGTATTTGACAGTATTTTCCACATTTTCATGAACCGGGAGCCACCATATTGGATTTCAAAATGACGTCGAATTTATTTACAATCTCTAAACGTCACCCGCATTGATGGGTTGGCATCAGTATTTCACACTTTTCTGAAATCGGAAGCTGCCATATTGGGTTACAAAATGTCGTCTCTAGACGTCACCTCGATTAAAAAAATACCCATATTGATGGGTATTTGACACATTTTCCCACATTTTCTTTAACAAAAAGCCACCATCTTGGATTTCAAAATGGCGTCGCATATCTATTTCCAAGCTCAAGACGTCACCCCGATTCCAAAAATACCCATATTTATGGGTCGGCGTCAGTATTTCCCACTTTTCCTGTAATCGTAATCTTGGATTTCAAAAAGTCGATTTCCGGCCTCTTGACGTCACCCCGATTAAAGAAATACCAATATTAATAGGTATTTGACTGTGTTTACCGCTTTTTCTGAAAACGGAAGCCACCATCTTGGATTTCAAAATGGCGTCGGTCATTGTTTTCCGGCCTCTAGACGTCATACTGATTCCTCAAATACCCATATTGATGGGTATTTGACAGTATTTCCTTTTGATGGGTATTTGGCAGTATTTCCCTCTCTTCCTTAAATCGGATGCCGCCATCTTGGATTACAAAATGACGTCAGTTATGCATTTTCATTCTCTAGGCGTTTTCCCAATTCCAAAAATACCCATATTGATGGGTATTTGACAGTATTTCCCACATTTTCATTAATCGAAAGCCACCATCTTCGATTTCAAAATGGCGTTGCATGTATATTTCTAATCTCTAACGTCACCCCGATTCCAAAAATACCCATACTTTTTCTGAAATCGTAATCTTGGATTTCAAAATGTTGTCGGATATCGATTTCCGGCCTCTAGACGTCACCTATCTATCTATCAATGTATTGATAGGTATTTGACTGTGTTTCTCCCTTTTTTTCAAAACGGAAATCACCATCTTTATTTTCAAAATGGCGTCGGTCTTTATTTTCCGGCCTCTAGACGTTATCCTTATTCGTAAAATACCCATATTGATGGGTATTTGACAGTTTTCTCACTCTTTCTGAAATCGGAAGTCGCCATGTTGGATTTCAAAATGGCGTTGGATATATATTTTCAGCCTTTAGACGTCATCCCGATTTAAAAAAAAACCTATACTAATCGGTATTTGACAACATTTTTCACTTTTTTTTTTTAAACTGGAAGCCAATATTGGATTTTAAAATGGCATCGCATATCGATTTTCGATCTGTAGACGTCATCCCGATTCCAAAAATACCCATATTGATGAGTCGGCATCAGTATTTCCCACTTTTCCTGAAATCGGAAGTCACCATCTTGGATTTCAAAATGTCGTTGTATATCGATTTCCGGCTTCTAGACGTCTCCCGATTTCAAAAATACCCATATTGATGGGTAAACAAACCACCCGACAATGATAAATTTAACATCCATGTGCACAGATCTATGCACTTGCGCTCAAATGAACCAAGTGAACAATCAACAAAAGCTAGTAAAACTGCCCGAACAGCTTCGCTTCAATGCGACAATGAAAGACCAAATGAACACGAGTCAAGCCAAAACAAACAGCATGAAAACTGATCGAAAGTGGTTCTGTTGATGTTGAAGGGGATCTGCTCGAAGAGAAGACAGAATGACTTTCAATTGAGAGTGATGGGTGACAGCTTCGATTGAAAGTGATTTTGTTGGACCCTGATAAATTGTTGATACTTTTCTGAAGTAAGATCCTTGAAATTTTTAAGAAGATCCTTGTAAGCAAGTAAGATATAAGATATATGTATAAGTAACCCGAGCAAAGTCGAATGTCAAAATATTATCAAATAATGTTTTTGAAACTGGAACTGAGAAAAGTCGTTCTCTATTTGCTTGTGCTCTTCATCATCGGCAGCGTTTTTTTTTTGTAGAGCAGAAGTTGTCACTGGTGAGAGTTGGTTCGCCATGGTTTCCGTGTTACCTCTGTGTGATAAAACATTTGAACCCTGATGATAAATTTTTGCTGTTCTCGCGAAAGCATCGTAATGTTTTGAAATTTTTAAAACCAAAAAACCACCGAAAAAAAATCAGGGTGTAGCTATCGGTTGCATCTTTGTTTACAAACAAATGATGATGAGCTGTCAATGACTCGCGCTTATTGCTGCTTACACTAAACCGGTGAAGTGTAGTAAAAACGAAAACGGCATAAAATATATTGTAAGTGATCACCGCCTACATTGTGAGTAATGCTAAAGTGTTTTTTATTCTTCCTCAATCTTCCAATCCAAATTCAGTATATGAGAACATTCCCAAAGAATCGCGACCACCACCGACACCACCAAGGAAATCATGACAAATGGATTTTTAAGGCTTCATACAAATTGAAAGAAAGAAAAAAACGAAACACAGCTACCAGCATGAATTGGTAGAATATTGAAAGAAAGAAAACACGCGGATCCAAATGCAAACAAGCCGGCACGCAACGGGCACACACACACAGAAAAAGTGATACAGAGTAACTCGTGAACGCAACGGAGAATGGAATGTTTTAAGTGTAGGATAATATATAAATATATGTATACACACAAACACACGTAAAGAATGCACCTCTCAATATATTCGACGACACACACACACACACACAAACACAAACACTCACGCAGAGAAATACAACAAATACACTCAAGAATCAGATGAATGGAAACATGTTATGAGAAGGAGAAGGTATGAGATTGTTTCATTGTTTACCTTATTGATTGTTTTCCAAACACATACACACACACACGCCAACAAACAACAGAAACGAGAGAATAATTGAGGTATGGGTGAGAAAGTGGCAAAACAAAAAGTGCAAGCGCGTCGCCCCACCAACACAAATACAAATCGCTCCTCTAAATGCTTGACAAGGCGAAAGTGGGGTCTCAACTCAAATGTCATAACAATTTACGGTAAAGTAGGAGCGTGACCGAGATGAATCAGATTTATTATTAGTGTATCTAGTCTAACAAATTACAAAATTTTCCATTGCGGGAAAAAAACACAAACAAACTGAGCTCTCAACCTAAACGAAACAAAACGATAAAGAAAAGCGAGTGTAACTCACGTGCTGTGTTAGGGGGAAACAAAAAACAAAAACAATTGAGAATTTTAGGGGAGCTCAGCGGATGTTTAAATTGAAAATCAATGATAAACACACGGAGAAAGATAACTAGACAAAAACAAAATACAAGCTGCAAATGTGATTATGATTGAAACCGAGTAGGCGTGCTTCATTTTGGCACAACTAGGATTGCCCAAAAGGGACCACGCCTGCTGCGAAATGAAATGCAAAACATATATGAGATACTACATACTAGAAGCGCGCGCGCTCTCGCGGTATGAATGTGCGACAAAATCGTTTGTTTTGGTCTTTTGTTATAGAGCTTCGCCACCACAGCGCGGGGGCGGAGGAGCAGAACGAGAATTAGTTTGTAAGGCTTTATCAATTGTATCGCACCGCTACAATCATTATTTTTTTTATGTTAGGATCCATATTTTTTCTTTGTTTTTATCGAGAAGAATCAACACGGAACTCACTTGCTAGACATTTGGATTTACACGGAGAGAAAAATTGCATCCCGAGACGCGGCAGAAATGCAGCGGTTTTTACTACGAAATCTTACTGTAATGTTATATGTTACGAGTTATTACAAGTGGAAGCAGAAAGAATATATCGATTTACTTGCATCGTTTTCGGTTGGGTTGATCTTTTTCTTATTTTGGTATCACATTTTCCTTTGATTTTTCGTTTGGAATTTTTGCTTGCGTTCGTATTCATATGTTCCGGAAACGCTCAAAATACGTGTTGAACGAAATAGTTAATACTCAAAAGTTTGATAAGTAGAAACCAAGAGAGCAAAGAATTATAAATGTGCTGAATGTATTACAGTAGTGATTTGCCCCACCTTACTAGCAGCAGGTTCCGGGGCAGCAAGCCCCATTCTAATCAATCCTTAGGATACGGTATTCGAAGAACATATTCACTACTTGTATGACGGCGCCAAACAATCGACGGTCGATTTACAAACTAAAAACCTACAGAGAGCCTAATACCATCATATTTTTGTAACTAGTCGAAAATTCAAATCGATAAATGTAAGCCACAAAACCAATACTCAATCACCGACTGTTAGGACGGAACTGCAATCCCGTTCCGGTTCAGATCCTACCGGGATCGGAGCGTCAATCTATGTTTTTCTCAGTATTTTTGATTTTCCAACAAGTGCATTCTACTTATGTCTCTAGACAATAGAGCGTTGTCATCGTTACGTTTGTTCAAAACGACACGCCTACTTACTACTGCTACTACGAGTATTCGCTCCCTGTTTTCCGCGTCAAATGCGGTTTTCCTCGAAGAGGAACACATTCGACGCCAATTCTTCCCGTTTTTATCCATGTTAGTATTTTTGAAATCTTAGTTAGCTTTGAAAGTAAAGGCGTCAGCTGAGGACGTTGTTCCAGGATTGTAAAAAAATAAGATGATACAAACAAAAACAACCAGAACACCGAATGAAACCAATAAAAACTAAAATTAAAACTGATTACAAGAGATTACTAAGATTAACCTATATTGCTATAACATCTTTAATGAGTGAATAGAGAAAACAAAAATAGTAGAAAGAAGATACAAATTCCAAGCTGAATGTGATTTTTTTAATCGAAAATCGATACTCAAACACACACACACACACACACACACACACACACACACACACACACACACACACACACACACACACACAACAATAACAAATTTTCAACTCTGCAGGCATAATAAAAAAAAAAAGATAAATACTAGGAATTACGTGAAAAAATTAACATACTAAATTACCTTCTATCGGACAGAGTATAACAGATAGTAGTTATTATATGAAAGAAAAATAAACAAAATGAATAAACGTTATAACGAAACACAGTAGGGCCGGTCGTGCGCTATTTGTCATTTTTTTTTAAGCTGAAACTAACCTCCGAAAGTGTCCCTTCGCAGAATCGTTTCATACGCATCAAGTAGTTTTATGTGTCGCATAAGTGATTTTTTAAGAGAAAGACAATTGCGTCCGTCGGATTCTGGTATCCTAAGGCAACAAACTCGAAGATGATTTTCATTTGCATGTATTTGATGATCAATTTTATGATAAATTGATTGCGGCCACCGAAACCCAAGAAATGCAAATGCCAACAAGTTATCCTGTTTCAGTTTGTTTTTTTTTCATTTCTAGTTCTCTTTAATTGCAACCAAACTAACCATTTTAATTTTTTTTTATAAAATCTTTATTCTAATTTTAACATACAAACATGTCTTACAAGCAAAGCTATTCTAAAACTAATCACTTGCATTTATTTCTAAGTAGAATTTGAAGCTAGACAAGGAGATCATATCCGGAGTGATTTTAGATCCTCTACACGGATAGAAATCTCCTTATACCTTTTGGCAAATTTCTATTGCTGATTATTCATAAAATGTATAAGTCAACTAATAAGCAGACGCCTTGCAAAAAGTTAATGAAGATCATGTGTCAAATGAAATGTATAAGCGATCACACATACCTGTTATGCATACTTGTAGGATCTATGTGGTTTGTCTTATGGAATGTATAAGGCTGATGTTTTGGCAAAAATGTATAAGTGAAACACATGAAAAAAATAATTGATTTTCGTTTCGTGTACCTCACAGTGTTATTACTTTTCGAGATTGAGCTTTTATTCGCGAGAAATGTGATTGACTTGTTTGTTTACAAATGCAATTACGCCCAAATCTCAAATCACTCCGGAATATGTCGTTCTGTTTCCAAAACATATTGACTAAACTGAACAAATTATCTAAGAATCATATTTTTTTCATCCCTGCTAAACTTTTCTAAGGTTGGAGCTATCAAACTGCATTAAACGAGGAGCAAATCTGTTTCGTAAATGTCTAATAAAATAGTTCCATGACTGATTGAAAAACATTTACAAAATATATGCTCAAGATCTTCGAGGAATCCGCATGATAAGCAATTAGGGTTGTCAGCAATACCTATGCGATACAAATGAGCTCTGTGATCAATTTTCCTATTAGAAAGTAAATAAGGAATATATTTTTCATTTGAGTTCAGATTCTTCAAGTTAATATTATTCCAGACACGTGGCCTATTGTTTTGTTCTTTAGTTTCAATAGTTGGTCTAGGCAATGATCCAATTTTATCAGAATATAGTTTTGTCATAGAAAACAGGTTGTGTTAGTAAAACATGTTCGTAAAACAAATTCATCAAGGAAGGATAAATATGTGGCAATATAGTAACAGGTTTCTCAGATGACGAGACTGACTCTGACTTGGCTGAGGAGGGAACTTCTTTCAGTTTTTCTGCACGGAAACGAAAACGCATCTGTTCGCGGAAAGTTGACAATCAAGAACCCCAAATCAAATTTCCCAAATCAAGGAGTGGTGGAAAAAAGGAGACTGCTACTCCTCCTCCTGGATTCCACAGAACTGACTATATCCAGGATTTTCCAACTCTTCCGGGGACATCCAAAACCCCTGATGCCAAAATTTTAAGAACAGAAACCCCTTCTTCATCTGGGTTGTTCTCATTTGATGACATTGTGGACGGTATTCTCAAATACCTCAACATTTCTGATCCTCTGAAAAGCATTGTCCTCACATTGCTTCCCACTGTGAAATCCTTCTTGAAGCAATTGACTTCAAATGGCCCGTTCTTGCAGCTATCACCTTCGATGGATAATTTTCCAAACGAGGTCGGGGATTTGATCACTGTTCTACAGTGGAAGTGTCGAAGTCTTATTCCGAAACTAGATTCGTTCAAGTATTTAGTCCATAACAATAATTGCAATGCATTTGCCCTCTGTGAAACATGACTCTCTTCAGAAATTGATCTCCCTTATTCGATTGGATCGTGAGGATTCACGTGGAGGAGGGGTACTTTTGGGGATCAAAAAGTGCCATTCCTTCTATAGAGTGAATCTTCCCGAATTCCCCGGTATTGAAGTTGTCGCATGTCAGGCTACCATTAAAGGTAAGAGCCTTTGTATTGCTGCTGTATATATTGCTCCTAGAGTCTCTGTTAATCGCAAACAACTTTTCGACATATGTGCGTTACTTCCCGCTCCATGGTTGATCATGGGAGATTTTAACTCCCACGGTACAGGCTACGGGGGAGTTGTACGATGATAACCGTTCTACTTTGATTTATGATCTCTGCGACAACTTCAACATGACAATACTTAACAATGGAGAAGTAACACGTTTGGCTGGTCCATCCTCGAATGGTAGTAGATTAGACCTCACCTTTTGCTCCAATTCACTATCGTTGGATTGCATTTGGCATGTAATCCAGGATCCGCACGGTAGTGATCATCTGCCGATCAAAATTTCGATTGCCAGTGGGTTCAACTCGTCAGAATCCGTATGATCTAACCCGTAACATCGATTGGACTAAGTTCCAATCCGCGATAAACGATACAGTATCGTCATTGGAAGAGCTTCCGCCGTTGGAGGAATATAATTTCCTCTCTAATCTCATCGTCGACAGCGCACTTCAAGCTCAAACACGACTGGTGCCGCGATCGTCAATCCTTAAGAAAACACCATCGCTCTGGTGGGATCAACAATGCACGGAGGTTTACCGTTTACACATCTCTTGAACGCGAACTCAAGAGCCTCATCAAGACCAAAAAACGGGGTTACTGGCGGCAGTTTGTAGCCGGATTGTCGCGCGAAACGTCTATGAATAGGCTTTGGAGTACGGCGCGAAGAATGCGTAACCGGTCTACTAACAACGAAAGCGAGGAATACCCGTATCGATGGATTCTTAAATTCGCGCGAAAAGTGTGTCCGGATTCCGTGCCGTCGCAGTTGATTCATCGCGAAACCGCGAATTCGGTAGACGAAATCAGTCAGCCTTTTTCAATGGTCGAACTTTCACTCGCTCTCCTTTCGTGTGGCAATTCTGCCCCGGGATCTGCTGAAAAACCTCCCAAACGTCGCTAAGGGCGCATGTTGAACTTGTACAATCAGTTCTTGGAGCTCAATATTGTTCCCGACGATTGGAGACGAGTGAGGGTGATAGCCATTAAAAAGCCTGATAAACTCGCGTCGGATCACAATTCGTATCGGCCCATCGCGATGCTGTCGTGCATTCGGAAATTGATGGAGAAAATGATCCTTTTTCGCCTCGACAAATGGGTTGAGACGAACCACCTTCTTTCAGACACTCAATTTGGTTTCCGTAGGGGTAAGGGAACAAACGACTGTCTCGCGTTGCTTTCCTCGGAAATTCAGTTGGCTTTTGCTAAGAAAGAGCAAATGGCTTCTGTGTTCTTGGATATCTAGGGGGCTTTTGATTCAGTATCCGTTGAAGTTATTTCAGAGAAACTCCACGCTTGTGGATTGTCTTCATTAAGGGGGATTTCCGGTTCAATTGACCTAAACTTTGGATTTTTTTTTCCAGGGAACTGGTAAGAGTTAGAGACCTGAGTTTTTTGTCAAATCTTTATTCATTCTTGCTCTACAACTGGGAATTTTTTCAAGTCCAAAAATCCAAAATGGCGTCCAATATGGCGGCTGCCCGGTGGGTACTTCCCAAAACTGCGAGCAGCCTAGAGGTCGCAAATTGTCACCTAGAAAGAAAATCGGCTCAGTTTCTTGAAGAGTATAGTTCAGAGAATGGAATGAACTAGAATCTTTGAAAAATCTCAAAATTTGACAA